GATATTAGTTTTCAATATTATATCAATCCAGCTTTTTGGAAATGTTTTTCCAGCATAGCATTATATTTTTCTGACTGTTCGGAACATAAAGCATGCCCGGAACCTTAGGAATAAAAAAGAATTTTTGAATAATTTATAAAGCACATTTATCATAGCTCTTAAATAAAACTTACCTTCCCAACATTCGACGTCAACACCAAGTTGTTCGGCTAGATAATAACTATTATCAGGTCTTACCAAGTTATCCAATGTACCGGTTACAATTAAGACCTAAGTAAAGATTAATATTTAAAATTAAGTTTACAAATATAACTTTGCACAAAATAAACGTTAATTACTTGTGAAATTGTGTTTCTAATTTGTTGAAGTCGATTTGGTGAAACGTAATGAAGGACGCATGCGGCTAACTGCCCGATTACACCTATTCCATATATTTATATATAATTTAGGATATGATAATGATGTAATAAAAAGGGGTTTAGTTACCGTTAATTGGTTGAAGGCGAGTTCTTTCAATACGTCTGCGCAAATCCTGAAAGAAAATTTCATTTAATACGATCCAAGAGAGTATAGGAGATCAGGTAAAGCATATTTCACCTCTAATAAAAATTCTTCGTTGGTCTTATGGGATGAACCAGTGGGAGCGGGAGCCTTTAACCATTCCTTTTTCGCAACCACAACTCAATCAGTGAAGGCCTTACTATTTATTAACAAAAAATTTAAACATATACCTGAGGATACAATAAATTCAAGAGAATACGCGTTTTTTGCATGGGATCTCTGATTAAAAAAAGTCTTCCAATTGTCATCACGCCGGTCAGCTATTAAATATCCGAAATTATTGTTATTTGACTTCTCCTCTTTTTCTTTTGTCGTTTGAAAAGTTTAAAAAATAAAAACTTACAGGTGGTAAGGTCATACCAGATGTTGTTGAAGTTAAACAAAGAGACTTCACGTAATGAGGTTTTTCCAGAACTAACTCTTGAGCAATCATACCGCCCATGGAAATACCAAT